CCCTGGGATCCCTGGGACACACAAACCCCTCCACCACGATAAGGTTGCGATTCACGGAGGAGCAGAATCCAAGCCTTGAGAGAAATTGTTTGAACATTAGCTTTCCGTTAAAAATGTAATACTACAATCACTTTGATGTCTCTAAACTAAACCCTGTGCTTAGGTGTTGCTTGGGAAGCATTGATCCTACTGAACAGTTAGATAAAGAAGCTAAACAATATCTGCAGGCAATCATGGCAAAAGCATTCATGATCCACTGCCTGTCTTACCTACTGTTGGTGTTGTCAGGTAGCTACAGTAACGAGATTATGTAGGACTAAATGCATTGAAGGATAAAACAAACACAAGTTGGAAAGTCTCTGATGTTCAAGTGGAATCTCCAAGGCACACATAGACTGTCAGTTTAAGTCTGAGAGTCGACAGCTTTGACAGTTCTAATCATGGTGAAGCTTTAATGATACAGATGTTTGTCTAAATCCAGTATGCATGGATTGTGTTGGATTTCACGCCCAATTCATCTGAGTCACCTACAGATGAGTTTGAACTCAGGATAAATTTCTGTCAGTGATCATTTCTTAAAAGATAAAATTATGACTTACAGGCAATCTTCATGTGCAATTTTCCACTTGTCCATCCATCCATTCTCTTCCACTTATACTTGTCAAGGTCACAGGGGGGCTGGAGCCTATCCCAGCTGTCATAGGAGGAGAGGCAGTGTATACCCTGGACAGGTATACCCTGAGTCTGTCGCAGGCCAAACATAGACATAGAAAGATGTCATTAATGCACCAGTATTATCTCATCTAGAGAACTGCTCAATCATTTGGTCAGCAGCTAATAAGACAGATCTGAACTTCAATTAGTCCAAAATAGGCCGGATTAGTGTTAAGGTGTTCATATTATACACGTATTGATAAAATGCACGATAAACTTTCTTGGCTTTCTGTACAAGCTAAATTATACTATGGCTTACTTGTATTTTTAAAGAAAGCAGTACTGGTAAACACACCACACTTTTTTATGCTCAGTTGCATCCAGATGAAATACATAATCATGCTACAAGATTCTCAACTAACCACAATTTAGTAACTCCTCGAGTTAAAAGTAACTTTTTGAAAAACTCTGTTATATT